TTAAGATCCTTTGGCACAGCTAAGGAAATGTGAGAATACTTGAAGCGCGTTTATAATCAAGATAATTCTGCGAAACGCTTCCAATTGGAACTTGACATGAGTAATTATAGTCAGGGTAATTTTTCAATTGAACAATATTATTCTGATTTTTTAAATTTATGGAGCGAATATACTGATATTATCTATGCTAAAGTGTCAAAGGAGAACTTAGCTAGTCTTCAAACTATTCATGAAGAAAGTCGTCGTGATCAGTTTTTAATGAAATTGAGACCTGAATTTGAAACTGCTCGAGCTGGGTTGTTGAACAGAGATCTGATTCCGTGTTTGGATGTTTGTTTTGGGCAATTACTGCGCGAAGAACAAAGATTGGCGACACAAGCTACTATCAGTACAATAGGTGTATCATCATAAATAATTAATGTGACATATGCTGCTAAGGCCAAAGGGAAGGGGCCAGTGCAGTGCTACAGCTGCAAGAAATTTGGTCATATTGCACGGAATTGTGAAAATAAAGTTTGTAATTATTGCAAGCAAATGGAACATACTCTTATGGAGTGTCCAACACGATCCCAAAATCGCAAACCACAAGCACTTCATGCCACGGTATCTGACAATCCTGCCTCGACTTCTACTGTTGCTACCAATAATCAATCAACTGTCACACCTTATATGGTTCAACAGATGATTCTCTCTGCATTTTATGCTCTCGACCTTCAAGAGAAAGGTAAAACTATTTCTTCGGTTACTTCTCCTTGGTTTGTTGATTTAGGCGCCACAAATCATAAATCATATGACTAGACTAGCACTGCTGAGCTATTGCATAACCAACGACCATACACTGATACTCAACATATTCAGATTGCTAATGGAATTAATATTTCAATTACGACACTTGGTGATATTAATTCATCATTCAAATATGTTTTGGTTTCTCCTAATTTATCTACTAACTTACTCTCTGTTGGTCAAATTGTGGATAATAACTGTAAAGTACATTTTTCTCGTGATGATTGTATTGTGCAGGATCATGTGTTGGGAAGGTGATAGCGAATGGGCCTAAAGTGGGTAGACTGTTTCCATTACAATTTACTGTTCCTCAAAACTTTTCCTCAGAATATTTCATTAACATCTTCAGTTATTGAGAAAAAGACAAACATCTGGCATAAAAGACTAGGTCATCCAAATGATATGGTGTTGAAGCATTTACATAAAAGTGATGTTTTTTGTTATGTTTTTTGTTATGTTTTTTGTTCTACAGATAAAAATTTAGTAGTTGATTGTTTTGTTTGTAAACTTGGAAAAAGAAGACATTACCTTTTCTCATTTCAGGCAGTCGTGCCAATAAATTTTTTGACATTATTCATAGTGATGTTTAGGGAATTACACCAGTTATTTCACATGCTCAATATAGATATTTTGTGACATTTATTGATGATTACATTCGATTTACTTGGATATATTTTTTGTGTGCCAAAATAGAAATATTTACTGTATTCCAAACATTTTTAGCATATGTTGAAACTCAGTTTTGTGCTCGCATTAAAACCCTACGATCTAACAATAATGATGAATACATGTTTTATGAGTTTCAAGCATTTCTCCAGAACAAAGGGATTGTTTCACAACGTTCATGTCCCTATACACCGCAGCAAAATGAAGTTGCTGAATGAAAAAATCGACATCTATTGGATACCGTGCGCACATTACTGATAGAATTTTTTGTTCCAGCTAGATTTTGGACTGAAGCTTTATCTACTGCAGTTTATCTCATTAATCGCTTACCATCTCAACAATTGACATATGAGTCTCCCTAATATCGAGTTTTTGATAAACACCCTAATTATCATACGCTACATACTTTCGGATGTGTTTGCTTTGTTCATCTACCTGCTCGTGAACGTCATAAATTGGCAGCTCAGTCAGTATGATGTGCCTTTATGGGATACAGTTCTAATCATAAAGGTTTTGTGTGTTATGATTCAATTAATAGTTGATGACATATTTCTCGAAATGTGATTTTCTTTGAACATGAATATTACTTTCAGCATCATGTGTCTACATCAAATACAGTTATACTTCCACAATTTGATAATTCTTCTGCTGATAAACGGTTCAAGCCAGAAATTGTCCACACACGACGCCTGCCCCCTTCACCTTCAAACCTCCCCGACCCTGATCCATAAATTGCTCCAATAAGTATTCGATGATTAATCCGACGTATCCGTCCTCCAGATAGATATGGGTATACTGCAATTTTAACTAATACTACTGTTCTTACCTCTTAGTTTCAAGCTGCTAAACAGATTTGCTGGGTCAAAGCCATGAAAAAGGAACTTCATGCACTTCAAGACAATCACACTTGGGATATTGTTTCATGTCCCACAGGTGTTAAACTCGTTAAATGTAAATGTGTTTATTCTCTTAAACTCCGATCTGATGGCTCTCTTGACAGATATAAAGATAAGATTGGTAGCTCTTGGCAATCGACAGAAATAAGGGATTGATTATGACGAAATATTTGCACCTGTGGCTAAGATAACAACTGTCCGACTGGTGTTATCTATTGCTGCATCTAAAGACTGGTTCTTAAAGGAGATGGATGTTAAGAATGCATTCTTATATGAGGATCTCAAAGAAGACGTCTATATGACTCCTCCTTCAGGCTTATTTTCTACATCTTCACATGATGTTTGTAAGCTCAAACGGTCCCTATACGGTTTGAAATAGGCTCCACGGGTCTGGTTTTAAAAGTTTTGCAATACCCTTCTTAGCTTCTCTTTTATTCAAAGTCAGTATAATTCATCATTATTTCTTTGCAAGACTGACAAGGGAATTGTTTTGTTATTAATATATGTTGATGATATTGTCATCACAGGATCTGATAATCAATTGATGTCTCAGCTACAAAAACGTCTTCAGGGTTCTTTTCATATGAAAGATTTATGGTCATTAACTTATTTCTTAGGACTCGAGGTTCACTCTTCTGCCGATGATATTTTTCTTCATCAGCACAATTATACGAAGGGACTCATTGCTTTGGCTTGTTTTCAAGTTGGTCGCTCCACTGATACCTTTTTGGAAGTAAATGTCAAATATCAACAGAATGATGGTGACTTTCTATCTGAACCATCTCTATATAGACAACTGGTTGACAGTCTCAATTATCTGACTATTACGCGTCTGGATATTTCATTTGCTATGCAACAAGTTAGTCAATTTATGCAAGCACCTACACATCTTCATTTAGCTGCAGTTCGACGTATTATTTGATATTTGAAAGGTACTTCTCATCGTGATTTGTTCTTTTCTGCGAAGTCTCCTATCACCTTAACAGCCTATAGTGATCCTGATTGGACTGATTGTTCTGATACACGTCGATCTATTACTGGATGTTGCATGTTTCTCGACAACTCTTTAATCTCTTGGAAGAGCAAGAAACAAGATCGAGTGTCTAAGTCATCTACTAAATCAGAATACGCGCTATGTCCTCTGCTTGTTCTACAATCATTTGGTTTCATGGCGTGCTGGCTGAGCTTGGTTTTCCTCAGCTTGAGTCTACTTCTCTTCATGCAGATAATACTAGTGTTATCCAGATTGCCGCTAATTCGGTCTTTCATGAACGCACGAAACACATTGAAGTGCTATGGAGAGGATTGATGCTTTATTGATATAGGACTAATGCTTTTGAGAGGATTGAGGAGAAATTGATTACTTGGGGGTTTTTCTTGCTGTGGGAAACCATAGTTCTTCTTCTAAGTGTGGAGAGGGTGGTGTTCTACCAGGCATGAGTGGGGAAATCAGGAGTGCTGCTTGAAGTCAACTTTGGTCATCGTAAAGGAAGAATAACTTTACTTTGTTTATTACTTTGTGTATTTTTATTATAACAAAGATTTAGTATATTTCTTTTGTATTCAATGCATTTGCCTGGTGAAATCAGCATGCTTCTTGAGTATATCATTAACTCTTTCTTGTAATGATTAGATAGGATGAATGGAATGTGAAGTGTTATGTAATATCTTTTTTCTCAAATAGTGATGATTAACCTTAAGAATTTCATTTACTTTTCATTCTGACCAAGTGAATTGTTAAAATGTGTTGTGAACCATAAGACTTGGGAAAACTATGGTAAAATCAACTAGGTTAATCATATTAAACTATGGGGTATAGATTGATATGTCTTGTAGGGAGATGCAAATATTTGGGAAATATGGTTTGAAAGGATAGCTATGAGATTTAAGGAATTAAAATCATTTCTATCCAAGTTTCTTTATGCGCTCGGGAGAGGGTAAAGAAGATTGTTCCTTCTATCTGTTACTGTATATTTTAGTACTCACAACTTTACATTCAATTTCATTCACTTAACTCATTACATGGAAGAGCCTCCTAAGTATTTGATATCTTTCAATCCAAACTGCTAAAAGTAGGATTACTTGTGTATGATTTAAATTTGATGTTTGTTGTAACACAGTAGGTTAGTTATTTCAGAATTTAATATTTTCAACTTTTCAGGCTAGGAATAAAATCAGTAGGCTAGAACTTTTTCTATTTTGGAATTACCTCATTCTCTTTGGAATTGACATTGTAGACTCTAAAATCCGATATTGCTGATACGATATGTGCACTTGCGTGAGCCCCCAATGTGTGGTTGCACCTGGACACAGTATCATAACACTCAAATTTTATTTTTTGGGCATGTACCTTTTTATACATACAACACAATTCCTATGTGTTTCCACATCTAACACCTAAACTTTAATATTTACATTCATAACACTCTAAGTCTTTACCATCACATAAAAAAATACCACTTTACTACTTTTTAAAAATTAAATGTGCCTTTTTTATGCGGAGGTTCATAGCACCAGTGCTATAAATTTAAATATCAAACTTTATTTGGTGATTCTTATTCATTCGGCACTCATCAATTCATCTTTTTTGTCAGAAGTTTTGTTTAATCTTGATAATTGAACAGAATCTTTACCTGCAATGGCTTGTTGTAGGATCTTGATCTTACAAAACCTGGAATACCGAGGAGTTTTAAAAAGGCAGAATTTGAAACCACCACCAAAGAAGTTCTAAAGAAAGCTGATTTCAGGGTGAGTTATTACTTCTTTTTAATGCCTGCCTTGTAGTTTCATCACCTCATTGTTTTTCTAGAATTTACAAGATATGCAAATTGAGAAAAGTGTTAAAATAGTCCAATGACTCTTTGTAGTCGATCATTTTAGCCTTATAGTTTATAATAGTGTCAATTTAGTCTCAGTCTCTTTTAATATGAGAATTTGGGACTAAGTTTACACTTTTATGGAATCTGGAACTAAAATGACATCATATAAGTAGTCATAAGGCTATTTTGACAATTTATTCTATGCAAAGTATCTTCGTCATTATTTTTTTTTTCTTATACTCTTTTTGATGAAAATCTGGTTTGAATGAAAGCTATTTGGATGAATAGCTCAAATTATTTTGAAATTATTTGTATTGTCATCTATTTTGATGTTCTTATGTTGATAGATCCTTGTTGCTCTTACCATGTGTCAGGCTGGCATTGCGTCCGTTTAAATCTATGCTCTAGGTGAGTCAATTAGAATTTATTACTATGGCCCCATTTGGAATCACTTTAGTATTTTTTAAATATTTTTTTGGTGTGTTGTTATTTATTTTTTTAAAAAATAATAAATTAACTTATTTTTAAAAACACTCAAAATGAATTTTAATTATTTTAATTGTTTGTTGCTGCCTCTGCCACCCTGCAAACATTCTTTAAGATGACAAGCAAGTTTTATCTTACATCAAAGTATGAGTAAAATAAAATAAAATTAAAACAAAAAATTAAATTAGAAAGTGATTCCAAGTGGCCACAAATATGTAAAAAAAATATAATATGCATATAAATATATTAAATCATCTCCAAGTCGTTTTTAACTCGAAATTAACTTAAAATAAAGGCTCAAGTTGAGATAATGACTTATAACTGAACTCTATGTTTATGAACTCTAGTATGTTCCTAGCAAAATGTAAATTTCAACCAAAATTATCAACCCTAGCTTATGCCTTCTCTGATAGTTCTGCACTTCAGACATTCCATGTTTTTATGATCCAATCTTCTTTTACATCACAGCTTCACTAGTATTTGGCTGCAGCCTGAATTTATGTTAAATCGATTTATCAAATCTAATAAATTCAATCATCAGTGCGACGAATATGAACTCACCAGCGACTCCGGGAAGAAATTCTTAAAATCCATCTCACAATCGGATTTACTAAATTTGAATTTACATCCTCAAAGAGACAAAACACAGGAAGAAAGACGGAACACAAAAAATTTCGATTTAACGGAGCGTTGGATTTAATTTTCATTTTTTTTTAAGCTGGATTTATGCTTTCATGTATAAATCCTCTTTAAATTATGCTACCAAACACCACGTCGAAATTTCTTATTAATCTTCAGAAAAGCTTTCAGTTTTGTAAACACCCTCAACTGCATGATTCTCTGCTAAAATTGAATACTTTTTTTCTGTCAGAACGTGAGATTTCTTTCCAAATTTCTAACCGAGGCTGGAATTATCATCAAAAGAAGTCAGGTAAATGCTACAATACTTCTCTTTTCCTACATAATGTGTTATCTATAGCCTTGTTATGCCCTGTACAGACAAAGATTAGCGCTAAAGCTCAGAGGAAAGTTGCGAGGGAGATCAAGACGGCGCGCGCATTAGGGCTCATGCCTTTTACTACCATGGGCACAAAACCTTTCATCTTTGGGAAAACCATGGAAGATGATGAAGAGGAATTTGAATTCGACGCATACAATGGTGTCAATTCCCCTGCATTAGATGATGTTGAAAGTTGATTTATTGTGATATTATCATCTGGAGTACTCGAATGCATAGCATATTGGTTAAAAGTAAAGTGAATAATCTTAAGCTATCGGATTCGAGTGCTCCACCCTACCGAAAAGAAAAAAATATTCACTTGTATCATTTTCTAAAAGTGCATGGGTTTGTGTATCCTTATCTCCATGGATTGTTTTGGGATTGTTTATTATTATTATTTTATTTTATGTTAGAAAAAAATAGAACTTTATTTGGAGCATCTTATTATTATTATTAATTTTGGCTGTTAAAAAGTTAATTTATCAAGCACAATTACAGTTGTATTTTTTTTCCAAGGGGGTGGGGGGCTGTGGGATAAAATAGAGGGGGTGAACTAGAATTAGGAAATAAAAGGAGAAAATATTGTTTCCATCGTCTGCATATGTGGATGACCAACTGTCGGGCAACAGCACGGCATACAAGCTAAGGCGGTGCCCGGCGATTGGTCATCTGCATGTCCGGATGCAATATTTTCTGGAGATTAAAGCGAGTAGGATCACTGAGATCCCAACTATGATCGAGAAGAGGCTGAGTAGGATTATTAAGGGGTTGATTAATATAAAACGCTCATCAAATATTTGCCAGAATAAGCTGACTTTGATGATGCTGACTAAAGTCAGGTGGTTTGGTGATGAGAACAGTTTGGTTGAGGATGGGTGTTGTTTTTTATTTGTATATTTTTGATGTTTTCAGTGCTATGTATATATTCATGCAAACAGTGATGTTTATGTATGAAATATATAAATGTCGGTAATTTACATGTTTTATATGTAAATCCGTTTTTCTTAATGTAATTTTAATAAGATACATTTTTTAAAAAAACTCTAAAAAGTTGCAGTTCAAACAAATATCGTGTTGAACATATAACTAATAAAAATGAGGAATGAACATTGATATGCTTGTTTAAAACTCTAAATTTCCTTAAAATCTTAAATGTTTATCCTATAACTAATAAACTTGAACGTTAAATGTGCATCATATAACCAATCTCTAACATTAGTATTTGAAAGCATGTTTTTGAAGTGAGAGATTTATGTTTTTGTTGGAAGCAGGTTTTTGATATGTGATCAATAAATTTTCATAATCTGACATAAATCTTGAGGTGTGATATGAATCTCAAGGTAATTTTTTTTAGCAAGAAACATTTAAACTTTGATTAAAAGTTATCTGAAACTTTGGTTTCAATAAACATATAGTTAATCCAATCAACCCGACGAGACAGACCTAATGGTTCCAAAATCAGTCAATTTCGAACCAAGTTGAGCCAAGATCAAGCTATTAAGCCATTTTTGGAAGCTTTTCGGGCATAATTGGAAAGTCAAATGGATTTCAAATATGAGATGGTTATAGTCATATCGAGTGTCTCGACAAAACAAATCAAAGAACCTACGATCACTCAATTCTGACATCATTAAGACTGTGAAATGTCTATCGAACATCGTTCGATCACGGGGATCTCTCCCAGTCGTCCAATCAAGAGGGGTGCATATTTTTTTTTTCTTATTTATAAAATGCACTCTATAAATAGAGTCCTACTCCCTCATTATAAAGAGAGCTAGACCTTGGGCAAGAGCAAGTTCAAAGCTTTCAGATGAGGGAGCTGCAACCTAGCTTAGTACACAGCAGATCCATAGCCTCCGGTCGCTACCAATTCCGAATGTCGCCACCGCCAGTTCCGGTAGTCACGGATTCAATCGCTGCAGCCGCTTCTGCCCACTGTCACCAACAACCAACTTCAGCCGCCGCCGCCGCCATCCAACTTTGATCCGCTACTAACGAACTTTGTCATATAATTCCCTTTTTCGAGTAAATATCTCTTTTAAATCATATGAATGATCTGAAGAAGAGAGAAATCGAAAAATAATGACATACAACAACAAAGACAAACGAGAGAAAGAACATGGAGAGCTTTTATAAGGTAAACATTGTGTGATAGCCCAAAAGCTTACGTCCAAAACGAGTTCAGATCGAAAATTCTTTGGAACATATCGTCGATGAAGACCTTATGAAAGCAACCCACAATAAGAGATTCAAGTGTGTATGTTTGTTCTAGACCAACTCCCAAGGGAATGCATCCCTTTAATTAATTACATTTTGGGAAATGCAAAAGCATACTATCAGTTAGGGGAGTGTTGCTTACATTTAAGTGACAACTATTAAAAAGTGTAATAAAGGACGATTAACTCACATAAGCGTCCCGACGCTTTCAAAGCTCATGTCGATCTATATGGGCAGAGAGTGAGTCACTAACAATCCCATACGGATGGTGGCTTATTTACAACCAAGTCCTGTGAAATAACCGGATCGACTCAATGGGTCCACACAATGCTTCCAAAGCAAAACTGAATCAGAAGGATAGAGTGCGAATCACCGTATCCCAAATGGGCAGCGACCTATTCGCAATTGAGGTCTACGAGATGACATTGACGAAGCATCAAAAGGGCAACAGGGCTCAAAGTGGGTAAACAAAGGATGAGTATAGTAATCCTAATCGAGCAGAGATAGAAGAGTTGGGATACCATGAATTTGTCATCCCAAGCTATTATGACCTTAAGTCAACCTGGTACTGAAGGTAAACCCAATACAACCGGAGACCCCTTGTCAGTAATTTGTGAATTGCATCATCCAGAGGACCTCAATAGCCTTAAAGTCAGAAGAGGAAAACTATAATCCTATGAATTTACGTAGGTTGGAAAGTAGATGTGAGACTTATACCTATCAAAATGGCGAGGATGTCATAGGAGTGAAAAGAGAAGCGAGTTTTAGCTACAAAGCTGAAAAACACTCCCATAAAAACTTACTCCCCGTCTAGGTTAGGGAAGTCTCTAACACCATAAGTGCACTAGACAACCACCTAAGCAGAAATCTGTACTGGGTCATTTTGGTTAGTGAAGCATAGAGACTTCTCCTTGGGACATGCAATATCATGCATTTGTCTAATAAGTTCTAAGCATGGAAGCCCTATTATGTATGATTTGGGTGAAGGTCATGCTATGCAACCCTTTTAAAATTCGGTCTGAAGGTCATGTATAAAGTAAAGGCAAATTTTGAAAATCTTGAACTTTTAATCCTAAATTTTAATTAGCCTTGAAATTTTTATTATAATTTTATAAAAAGTGTATAATTTTATGTCCTAAAGAGCTTAAATTAAGCCAATGATTCCCAAACAATCCACAAGTTAAAAAGGGAGAAACCAATTTCAAGCACAAAAAAAATGCAATAAAAAATAAAGGAAACGCCAAACAAAAATATATAACATGCCGGTGCAGCTGGATCAGTGACATTTCAGGAAAGCAGGAATTGCAGTCAAGTGCAGCATAAGTACATGTCTGGTCTTGATTTTATACAACAATATGAATTCAGACTTAGGGTAAAGAACACGGGCCTGCTGCTCCTGGTCCCTCGTTACACGGCTCGATGCGTCATGCACCTTGGAATCCATGCCCGTACCTTATTTTCGATACATACTCGTTCCTAAGCACTCTATCAAATACATGATAAAAGAAAAAAAAAAGGAATCAAGCTGCATGAAAACAATGTTAGCATCAAAAGCTATCTACATGCAACTCAAATGAGCCATGCTTAGCAGAAGGAGCTTAGCAGCACCTGCAAATAAGAGTTAGGCATAATCATTACTTGCTCATCCCTGTTACACGTGTATGTGTGTTTAGGTATGGATCCTTGCAAGAAGACCAATCTACTATACTACTACACATATCTAAAAAATCAGTAAACATGAAAGCATACCAAAAGCATAGGGGGTAATGTCTGGCTAGGGCAATCAAATAAGGAAAGAACTATAGTCAGGACATTGAAAATGACTACCTAACAACCTAGTTCTTAGCCTAGCACATTATCTAATGTATATTGTCATATCACAACTTTTGTGTGAGTGCAGGGTTAAGTTTAAAGGCTGACGTATGTTTTGACGGAGTCATTGTCTCCGGACCTGTCCTGAGGATCCAAGGATTCTAAGATTTGCCACTAAATGTAAATTTGTAAAAGTTTGAAAGATTTTACTTTAGGTATGGTCTAACTTAAACATGCAAGTAGTTTTAAAGTAGGTTTTGAACATATGACATAAGTAATAAAAATATAGATTCTTGTTCTCTAAATTGAGTCTTAAGGAAGAAAATGCCTAAGAGGCACTTATTAGACCCCTTAAAACCTTACCACAATGAACTTGTGCTAGTCTCAACGTGATAACAAGTATTGCCACATCGAGGCATCCTCGTGGGCAATACTCACTACCACGTCATGACCAGCAAAAGTTCCCTCAACTAACGAGGCAAATTTGTTGTCGAGACATTCGGGGATGCACATGCAGATGCAAGGTGAACTAATGTGTTGTGGCAATGTAGGTGCTTTTACTTAAGTATACAATGGTATATACTAATGATGAATGTGCCGTCAGGGCGGAGTGGTGTATGAAAAACATACAACATAAGTGAGGATGAGTGTACTGAGGAGGATTTGACTAGAGGCGTGAGTGTGTCGATGAGGCAGTAACTCGGGGGTGAGTTGTGCCAATAAGGCAGTGATCCAAGAAGGTGTTTACGATAGTCCATAGTGGTGCCATGGGAAGATGAAAGAATGTATGAGGAGCAGTGACTCAAGAAATATCTACAGCAGTCCAGAGAAGTGTTGTAGAAGGTGAAAGAGT